CATTACTATCAGTCACACAAGTCCTGTATATGTTCTGTGACATTACTATCAGTTACACAAGTCCTGTATATGTCCCGTGACATTACTATCAGTCATACAAGTCCTGTATATGTCCCGTGACATTACTATCAGTCATACAAGTCCTGTTTATGTCCCGTGACATTACTATCAGTCACACAAGTCCTGTATATGTCCTGTGACATTACTATCAGTCATACAAGTCCTGTTTATGTCAATACTGTGACTTTTCTATCAGTGTTCATTAGTTCTCATCTTCCATGGCAGAAATGATTGTTGTACGCAATGCTTGCATCACCTCCGAATTGTCGAAGTCATTTGCGTCGATTCCTTTCAGATTCTGAAAGTTGAAACAGAAATCTCGTTGCATATCAACTTCAACCCTTTGAAGAATGTCTCCCATGATCCTCTGCGGAGGTTCAGTTCCAAAGGAAACTGAGAGGACCTTGGCATGCATAGTGTCTTGAGGGCCACCGTCTTTGATTCCCCTTTTGTCTAGGACCTGTCTTATCGACCCATTACCAGCCTGGTCAACGCATACAACCAGAACATGTCTGATTTGGGACAGCCATTGCATGCCATCGATATGCTCTTTACTGACATCTATGAACTTGGTGATCTTGATGTTTTTGCCTCCTAAACCACCGTTGAGCGCGTCTCGAAAGGACCTGACATTCTCTTTCTGAAGGCTGTCGCTCCCATTGTACAAAATACAGATGTGTTTTCGGGAATCAACTGGTTGTTTATTTGTACCGCCGAACGAATTCCCCATCCTATAGGGAAAAAATTATAACCTTATGAATTTTACACGCACTCTTATTGGTTGACTGTTAACTCTGGATTCAATGGAGCCCTCGGCCTTGCTTGCTCATTAGCCATTCCGAGGCTGAGAAAAAAACTGGGTCGTTCTTAGTGTGGGTCCGAACGCTTCCCTCCCCATCTGCTCAATGGAGCACTAAATTAAATATAAGATGGCGTCTATTTCGTCCCCTAAAATGCACTGCAATGCCAATAGTACACTACACACAGTTTTCCCCTCAACATCGGAATGGTTTATACGATTTCGAAAAGGACAGATAAATAAGATAAATAAGATAAATAAGATAAATAAGATAAATAAGATAAATAAGATAAATAAG